GGTGAGTGGATTGCCTGAGCCCGCGGGTTCGAGACCTGCCTGGGCAGTGAGACCTCATCTCTACAATAAATAAAAAAAAATCAGCCGGGCTTGGTAGCGCATGCCTGTAATTCCGGTTACTTGGAAGGCTGAGGCGGAAGGATTGCTGGAGCCCAGCCAGCAAGGCTGCAGTGGCCGGGAGCAGCCACTGCACTCCAGTCTGGGCGACAGAGTGAGACTCCAACTCAAAAAAAAAAAAAACACTGTTCAGTAATATATTCTATAACACCATATAATGGTTTGATAGGGCTTGTGCTCGTTACTTGTCTAATTGCTCAGAGCCATGCTGCCCTGCCTTCCTTTGCCATCCTTTATCGCAGGATTCTCATTTTCCAGCACCCTGTGCCAAATCTCTTCCTGCTAAGTTCAGCCAATGGAAAACGCTGCAGAAAATGAGTGGATGGGAGGGAGAGAAGGCAGAGTGTATTCCTTCATCACTCACTGGCTCCACGGTTCCAGTTCCTGCCCCATCCCCACCCTAACTTTGGGACTCTGATCCAACCAGTGAGATTGAAGCATCGTTTCTTGATGTTGCCAGTTTCTGGGTTGCTTCTCTACCGTTTGCTTCTTGGCATTTCCATCACCTGTAAAATCAAGTCACTAAATTAAAATGTGTGCAGTAACTGGGGTGGATTGTTTTCCTGACTGGACTGGTACAGGGTGGGCAGACCCATTCTATACAGTTTCTCTTTTTAGTTATTATAAGCTGCACAATAGTTAATATCCTTAAAACTAAATTTTAGTCCCCAACTATGTGTATTTCCTTAGCCCTAATTTCCAGAAAATTATACTTTCAACTGAAGAATGATGAGGCTCACACATTTGAAAAGGAGAGTTTTATTTCTCACAAAGTGGTGTAGCCTGTAGGGTGAAAATTCTGACAGGCTGGGAAATGTACCCTCCAGCCAGAACCAAAAGCAGACACTTTTAGGGTCAGAGCAAAGGAAATAGGATTTCATGCAGAGCAAGGTGGCCAAATATATATTTGATAAGTTATAGGGATCAAAAATATTTATGAAAGAAGAAACAGCACCTGCACAACTGAACTTCTTGCCTCTCCGTGGGCCCCATGTCCAAAAAATGATCCAAAGGTGAAGTTTTGGGTTCTTTGATGTCAAGATGTAAAGCAGAGGATATGAACACTCTTACTGCACCTTCTCTCTAGACTAGCCAGAAGCACTATGTGGGCTGTGGTCTCTTATCAGGCAAAGATGGGGCAGCATTAGGTGGTTGGCTAATATCAGTGATGGAGTCTTTTGAAAGGATTGGCTTCTGAATAGGCTTAGGAAAGAAAGTCTACTTGTAGCCAGGGGTGGGAGTATAATGGTATGTCCAACCTCCTATCTCATCATGGCTGAGAACTCAATTTTCAAGGTTACTGTGGGGTCACCTTGGCCAAGAGGTGATTTGTTCAGACAGTTGGCAGGGGGGAGGGCTTAGAATTTTTACTTACAAAACCCGCTTTTGATGAATTTTGTCTATTCCCCCTCCTAAGTGAGCTGTACCAATCATATTTCTACCAGTACTATGAGAATACTCCTATAATCTCACCAATTTGATTTCAGGAAAAAAAAATTGGGCCGAATTTGAATTTTTCCTCTACTCATTGGCCATCTCTATTATCCTCTTAGCTTTGGTCATCTTTCTCCCTCAGTTATCAAGCAGGGCTATGTCCATGTGAATGGGTATCATGAAGCACTTTTGAGGAATTTATTGCCCAAACCTTTTTCTGCTTACTGGGGAGAGGGGAAAGGTGGGTAGGGAGGGGACAGGGGCAAGTGTTTTGTGAATGTTCACACAAGGGCTGTATATCTTGAATGTGGATCACAACTGCCTACAAAGACCAGCCAGAACACCTGAGGGCTGTGCTACATCTCGGCCAAGCTATTTAAACAGTAGACTGCAGGGCTAGCCAAGGCTCTTCAGTGGTACTTGAAATCCAGAGGCTCAAAAACAGCCTAGGAAAAGCTACCTTCTAGTTCCATTGGGACCAAGTTTCTGGGAAGAAAATGTTTGCCTAATGCTGGTATTAGGCAAGTATTGGCCACGTGCCTGTTGAACACATACAGCCAAAGTCAAGATGCCCATAAGTTATTCATAAGCTGGCCAGGAAGTACTGACATGACCAAAAGATGACTGTATACTTGAAAATGTTCATGAATCACACATTGAGTATTTTGAAAAATGTTAAAATTTATTAATAATAGTCAACATCACATAGTTAATTAAACTAGTTATTTATTGTACATAATGACAACATCTTCACTAGACTGAGTGCTCAAGGATTTGAGATGATCTGCTATTCAGCACACCCCAATGACTGAGATCCACTGTATTTGCATCAAGCAAAGCAGCAACGGCGAGGACTGTCAATCTAATTCTGGGAACACAAATATTCAAAATGCATTGTCCAGTGTTCCTTTTTGGAAACCAACAACACATCACTAATAGCTACATACACACCTCTACCTTTAAAAAATATGTCATTTCACAGATAAGTACCTAATCTTCAAGTGTAAAATTTAAGTTAAAAATCCATCTCTGTTTTGTGGGCACCCTGTAATGATCCTAAAACCTACATGAGAGCTTTTGGCTTTCACGTGGCGGGAGGCACCCACATTTTGGATCAATTAGTGCCAGTGGGAGGGGTGGCAGAGGAGACACATGAGACGGCCAAGTGAGACTGGAACAAACGAGAAGGCTAGCCCCTCTGCCCTCTGTGCTTCCCAGGAGGATTTGGGCAGTGTTCGCCTATTATACCCAGCCCTGTTAACAAAAAAATCATATAATCAGCCCTTGTTCTCAGCACAAAATTGGATAAACGTGCAAAAACTGGGTGCGCTTCGGTCATGAGTTTCTTTCCATCTTTCTACTGTGACCCTTGGATCCAAGTCAATAGTGCCACAAGGCCACTCCCTTGTTATCGCATAGTATCCAGGTTCAATGTCTGCAGTTGTGCGTAGGTTGGAGCAGAAGTGAGCTTTCATATTCAGATTTAACCGCACTCTTGAAAAGTAGGGTACGGAAGTTTTTATGCCACTCTCATCCCTCGATGGTTTGAAATAAATACTGTGTATAAAAACCACAAAAACAGGTCAGCAGGCCAATGCCAGCTCAGCCTAGGGAAGCACACAGACAAGTCTTATAAAACATTTACAAAATAAACCCAAGGTAAAACTTGCTGGGAGGACACAAATATGCCAAAAATGTTGTCCCTGAGGTTTTGTTTGTTTGGTAGTTGAATTGTTCTGTTTTGGTTTGCTGTCAACAATAAGATATAATTTTTTTTTAAATTGGTGGCTTCCTTTATCTTGTCAGAAAGCTTTAAAATGCTGGGTGTGGTGGCTCACTCCAGTAATCCCAGCACTTTGAGAGGTCAAGGTGGGAAGATCACTTAAGAAAGCTTGAAAATACTACTGCCCTTAGAATAAAGATTTCTGGCGAGGCGTGGTGGCTCATGCCTATAATCCCAGAACTTGGGGAGGCATAGGCGAAAGGACTGCCTGAGCCCAGGGATTTGTGACCAGCCTGGGCAACTTGGCAAGACCTTGTCTCTACAATAAATCAAAAAATTACCCGGGCGTGGTGCCCCGTGCCTATAGTTCCAGCTACTTGGAAGGCTGAGTGGAAGGATCACCTGAACCCTGCAGCTCGAGGCTGTGGTAGCCATGAGCATGCCACTGCACTCCAGTATGGGTGATGGAGTGAGACTCCAACTCAAAAAGAAAAAAAAAGAATAAAGACTTCTAAGCAATGAGTCTAGTTGAAATGATTCCTTTGGTTAACATCCCATGTCATATCGTCCCAGTAAAATCTCTAGCCAAGGAAGCCAGCTGCTGTGGTTTCTTCAGTCCATTGGCTTAGTCTCCATCTCTGTCCCTGCTTTCCACACATTTCCAAGACTGCAGGGGAAGGAGGAGCCAGAAGGTAACCGCTTTGCCATTCACTCACCCTGAAGAGGCGTTCCTTCTCTTCCCACAGGTGAATGAGGTATTTCTAGTAACTAGTCAGTGTCTTCACCTTCCATCCTTTAACTACACTGATGTACTAATAAGGCCAACTCTGACAAGACTGTGTATCTATATACATAACGAATTAACATATAAATACATTACATACAACTGACCATTATGTGTCAAGATGCAGGAGCAGATCTACTTCAAGAACTAAATAAATTTCATATATAAATTAAAATGAACATACAGTGTTTCCACTTTTACAGGAAAATTTTAAAAAACAAGCTGAAAAGTTCCCCCTCCCCCAAAGGTCCATTGCTCATGGATGATTCATGCATCCACACTGAGATGCTACAACAAGCCCCATTGCAGGATGTGTCAACTCCTGGCTTTGGTTTCACTGTCTGGACTCAGGATTCTTTGATTCCAAGAACAGCAAATGCTGGAATTCACAGAGCAAATGCTTATAGATGAGGTTGAAGGGGGCTGCTGCCACATGAATATCTATGGATTTCCCTCCATTGTCATCCCTTGACCCGCCCCATGTGTGCCTGTAGGAGAATCAGGCTCACATCATTAGCAGAGAACTCCCGATCTCAGACAGGTGAATCAGTGTCAGCATCAGTGCTGGAGATGCTTTCCACTGAGAAATGTCATGTTCAGGCTCCAAGGTGAAGCAGCCATATCTTCATTAGTGTCCCTATCCTGTAGAATTATATGGGGACATGGAATTTGGCCAGACAGGGGGATTACTAAGGGTTAAAATTTTTAAGTTTTACGAGAACCAATGGGAATGGATGTGACTGGTGTAGACAAATCTCTGAATTGTATTTATCTCAGGAGGGCTAAAACCTGGGCACCAAATTGACTATATGCGGAGATAAAACCCAATTTTAAAAATTTGGTGGCTTCCTTTATCTTGTCAGAAAGCTTCAAAATGCTGGGCGTGGTGGCTCACTCCAGTAAAGGGGTTCTCTCTGTCATGGAAAAGTCAAGGGGTCTGTCTCTGACACAAGGGGATGACATCTTATAATTTAAAACAGGGAAGGGGGAAGCAAAGGAAGGGTCTTCCAATTTCAGGGTTTCTATCGCTGCCCAGCCTCACGGATGCGGCAGGCCACAGCAGTGATGAGAGCTGCCCCCTTTCCGCTGCCATCCTCTGACTGCAGGAAGGACACGTCGCATTTCGGGGACAAGTCCTTCACTGTCTCATGCATGACTTTGGCAAAGCTGGAAGAAAGACACAGGGAAAACCATCTTAGTCACAACTGGTTTGTGTACTCAGAGATGAGACCCCAAGAAGTGATAATGGAAACACATCTGACTGGGGTGAAACGCTGGCCTACTTTTGATGATCATTCTTTAAAGTATAATATTTACATTGTATACACTCTTTGGAATGGCTCTTGATTTGCACTAAAGTTAAAAAGGAGAGAAAGAGAAGGGAAAGAACAGAAAGACTGAAAGAAGGTGGGCAGGGAGGGTTGGGGTCAGACACTCACTGAGGATGAAGCTTGTAGAGGGTCCCATCCACACCCACTGTCACTTTGAGAGTGTCCAGCCCACGGTTTTCTCGAATCTTGTCCACCACAGCGGCCATGCCTGCGCCACAGAGCTGGGCTGCCCGTCGCGCCACCACAGTGCACACCTCCTTGACGATGATGCTGTCGTCACAGGTGCTCTCGAGGCCCAAGTGCTGCAGGATGGCTCGGACCTGCAGCAGGGCCAGGCAGTCGCTGGGGTGGGAGGGAGACAGACAGTGGTCAGTCACACACCAAGAGGGCTTGTGGCCCACCACTCCAGGGCCCTGCTTCATCAGGAGAGGCTCTGTGGGGTCTGACCCTCTGAGAGCCCACCCTGTGAGGGGGTGCCCATTCCTAAACTCCAACCAATGCTCATCCCACTGAACCACCGTGATTCTTCCTGAGGGCGACAGGAATACAAAAAAAGGGCTCCTCACGTGAGGAAGGGCAGTTCCACTACAAAATGGATACTCCAAATGAAAGGAAATTTGCTTTCTATGTATTACACTTATTTGGAAATAATATGACAGTGCTTGATTATGCCAGCTTCCAGTCTCTTTCATGTCCATTCTCTCGCTGCTGCCTGGAGGTCTACAGGACAAATATTAACCAAGCAGCTTAGATTCCTGCTCTGCCACCCTGGGTGGTGTAAACTCTACTTGTACAGGACCTACGAAACAACTAAATAGAATTGTAGAAAGAAAAAAACTCTATTATCTAAAACTACTTTAGAAGCTTGGAATCATCTCCTTGCACATAAACAGACTTGCAAATTAGAACAGATTCTTTCTATTCACTGATGCAGATGCCCGAGGGGGGCCGCTCGTGTCAGTCGTCTGGTTCCTGTTCTTCTATGCCCTGAGAGTAATGACATAGCATCAATTTTTAAGGGGCTCTGACAGTCATCATTTTAATCTGGAGCAGGATTTTCTGCCATTACACTAGGAGCGAGGCTTTACTGTAATGAGGTGCCATGTGGCATGTTTCTGCACTGCCTGATGTTCCACCCTTTACTCAATCCTGGCTGCCTGATGACTACAGTCAGCAGTTAAGAAGGACCATCAACCCAAGTGTGGGTGCTTTAATAGGTTATCTTCCTCTGTGCATCTCAACTGATATCCTGTGAGCAGGTATCTTTTCTACCTTTGATAATTTAGTCTAAAATCCAGCAATTACAGTGTGCGTGATCTCATGCCACACTCAGCACAATCTTTCATGAGAATGTGATATATTTGCCTTAAAATGACAACTATCCATAATGTGCCTTTAAGTAAATAAACACTGTAGACATGAATGTGTTGGCTACTAAAGTGACCTTTGTATGAGCCACACACTAATCCTACTTGATCTGTGGAAATCCTTTGGTTTGTCTGTCCATTAGAAAAAAGGGTACAGTCCCACCCTACCCCAAGCCCTAAACTCTCACCTCTCAATCTGAGACAGAAATTTGGTTTCAAAGATCCCTCTGGTCTTGAGTCGCTCTGAGATGCGGCCTCGGAAGAGCAGCCCACGCTTGGTGAAATCAATGAGGATGTTACGGACAATCTCACCTAGGTACATTCCACTGATCATTTTCTCGAACCTGCAAAGTAGGTAACATTCATGGAGGTTAGGTTGGAAGGTGGGGGGATGTATTAACTGGGACGGGCCAGTTAAGTAACCCTCAGTGCCTTAGAACGTGGGGGGCCCACAGACTCCCCTAGTGGGAAGAGAATGCTACTGGATACACTTGGGCAGGACCCCCGGTGTCCTTACCTGCTGATCTACCACCTTCAGCAAAACTGACCATAGCACCTGAGGCCCAAAGGGATCCTGGGGATTGGCTTCACCTTTGGAACTCATTTCCTTTCCAAGGCATATTTTCTATCTTTCTTTCTTTCTTTTTTTTTTTTTTGAGGTGGTGTCTCATTTTGTCGCCCAGGCTGGAGTGCAGTGGCATGCTCATGGCCACCACAGCCCTGACCTTCCGTTTCAGCCTTCCAAGTAGCTAGAACTACAGGTGTGCACCACCACGCCCGGTTATTTATATATTTTTTATAATTTATTGTTGACATGAGGTCTCACCATGCTGCCCAGGCTGGTCTCAAATGCCTGAACTCAGGCAATCCTCTCACCTCGGCCTCCCAAAGTGCTGGAATTACAGGCATGAGCCACTGCACCCAGCCAAGGCATATTTCCTACCCCTCAAGGAGATACACTCAAACCCCACCACACTTCTAGGAATAGGGGAGGACACTGTCTTTTTTTTTTCTTGTTTGTTTGTTTGTTTTGAGTTGGAGTCTCACTCCTTCACCCAGGCTGGAGTGCAGTGGCATACACGCCCACGGCCACCGACACTGTCAAAAATTCTCAACCTCACTAGGCATTCAGCATGCAATCTCTTAGACCTAATCATCATTACTCAAGTAATTAGTGCCAGCTATAGAGCTTTTGGCAACTAGAACAAAGCATGATTATGCAGTGGCTCAAGGGTCTCTTGGCCGTGCATAGTGCCTTTAAAAAGTTCAGGTCGTTAGTTTCAGCCAAGACTCCACTGCCACCCTATCTTGTCTTGTCCCAGCCTGCTTCCTTCATTAATACTGCCTACCTGGCCCCTAGAGGCATGTCTGCAACCTCTATTCTAAACAAATATTTTGCCAAGTGTATGCTGCAGAACTAGAGTCCCTGATTAATCTAGTTAGGAAACACTACAGGCAACATCTCCCTAATGGGAAGTGTGTTAGCTCTTAAGCTATTGTCTCTCAGCTCAGACCCTGCTCCCGCATCATCCACAGGCCTTGACGCTGGGCCCCTTGACAAAGAGGGCACCAGACGCTGGATGGATGGGGAAGGAAGAGAGAATTTGCTCCTATCCGCATCACCCTGGATGCTTCTTCACCGGGTAGAAGCAGGTGGTTCAACTTTGTTTCGTTCTCCTCACAGCCCCAGATCCAAGGCTCTAGGATTCTCTCATCTGTTCTCCCAAGTCCTTGGGGGTGGGAGCTGCTGCTTACATTTACTAACCCAGAACATTCCAGGTGCATTTGACAAGAAACCCTTTCCAAGGAAACCTCTTCTCTAACATCTCATAAGGAGCGTCCCGGAGATGCTGTTGTACAGGCCTCAATCACTCATCACCATCCAGTTCTGGGATGTGCTGGGTGCCTACCTCTGCTTGCCAGGGTTGAGTGAAAGCTCATCCACGGCCACGTCAAACTCCGTGCGGAAGTCTTCCAGACATCCGTTGTCCCCAAAGGCCCCCCACTCCATGTTGACGCACATCCGTCCCTCTTCTCCTTCTACCAGCTCCACGTTGCGCATCTCTTCCATGTAGCAGGCATTGCTGCCCGTGCCTGCCGGTCACAGAACACCGGGGCAGCTCAGCAAAGTCCCACGCCGAGGCTGTGCAGCCCCACGCGGGCAGGACAGTTCGGGTCCTTACCAACAATGAGGCCGACTTCACAGTGAGGGTCTTCAAAGCCACAGGTCATCATCGTTCCCACGGTGTCGTTCACCACAGCGACCACATCCAAGTCAAACTCCTGGGAAGGCGGAAGCAGATGCCTCGTCCACAAGTGGACCCCAATATTCTCCCTTTGGACGTTTGCAAGGGAGGTTTATAGGAATTTAAAACACGTCTCATATACACCATGGCTCACTCTCTCACTCAGGTCTCTGCTCACATGTCACCTCCTCAGAGATGCCTTCCTGATTGTGTTAAGAGTGTCCCTTTCTAGCACATTTGCTCTATCTGCTCTCCTCACCCCATTCAATTTCTCTCCATAGCACTTAACAGCACCTGCCATGATGTCACGGGCTTATTTGTCTGTGGAACAACGCTTTGTTGTGGTCACCCCCAAACCCCCAGTGCTGAAAGCAGGGCTTGTCACACAGTGGACACTCAATAATTGCTGGGTGACTAACTTGACCTTTCCCCCCAACAACGCAACTGCACTTAATGTTGGCCCCACTTCCTGAACACGTCAGGCACCAAGGAGCTCAGGCCTCATGCCACACGTCTCTCACCTCTCGCCGGTGTATTGCTTCCTTCAGCAGGGTGACCACATCCTCGCCCTCGCAGCCTGATGCCTTGAAGCCTTTTGTCCACTTGAGGAGTATGCTCTAAAAATCACATGAGCATGCAGAGGACATCAGAGGAGGGCTCCTGGGACCTTCCTGAGGCCCTACTGTACTTCCAGCTCTCAACCTCATAGGCCAGAATTCCCTAGTCACCATCCACAGACGAGTCTCAACTGTTTCTAAGGTACTTATTTGGATTTACCTCCTGTGTACCAGGTACAGAGCTAAGCACATCCCACGTGCTACCGCATTTAATCCTCACAGAACTTTGTGGAACATCTATCGTGAACTTGCCTCCTTTATTGGTAATTGGGGTTCTGGAGTAACTTGCCCCAGGCCTACAGCTTAGAAGAGAAGCAGGACTTACCTCCAAGGCCACCAACCATGATGGCTCATAAGCCATCACAGCTGCCCTGACTGTGGAACTAATTTCCATATGCTTGGTTCTCTCACTGAGCAAAGCAGTTTGCCCTGTCCCCATCCTCTATTTACCAGAAGGGTCAACATGTGTCTCTTGACTTTCAAATTCCAGCATTCCAGTGAACAAATGCCCTGCCTGTAGCTGGAGTGATACCTAGGCTTCACCACCACCCCGTGTTTCTCACTAAGGAAAATACTCCAAGCTCTTCCTCAGAGTCCTCTGTGGGTTACTCATCTTTCATGTGACCCTTCACCACATCCTGGGGCCCTCTGGGGACCAAAGCACAAGGGCTTGGAATGTGGGAGAAAAGCTTCACAGTTTTGTTCCTTGGTGTTCTTTGCTGCCACAGCCCATCAGGAAACAGGTGTCAGGGCTCCCAGGCCCTTCACCCAAGATATCAACTTCCATAAATGGGCTGTGTGCTCATGACCTGCCCACTGGCATAGTTTCTCCAGGCCTTGCTCAGTGATTTATGCCCATCAGCTTGGCATTTCATTCATATCAACCTGGATGTGTCACATGGATTCAGATTCCATAAGATTCAAAAAACAAAGGATATCTCTCAGCGCGCTGGTTGATACACCCACGTCCAGACAAGTGTATGCTTATCTCTACCCATTTCTTTTGTCTACAACTTGGCATCACATCTCTGACAATTTTTTTTTTTTGAATGACAGTCTCACTCTGTCACCCAGGCTGGAATGCAGTGGCACAATCATGGTTCACTGCAGCCTCAACCTCCTGGGCTCAGGTGATCCTTCCACCTCAGCCTCCTGAGTAGCTGGGACTCCATGTATGGCACCAAGTCCATCTAACTTTTTCTTCTTCTTCTTCTTCTTCTTTTTTTTTTGGTAGAAATGAGGTCTCGCTATGTTGCACAGGCTGGTCTCGAATTCCTGGGTTCAAGCAATCCTCCCACCTCAGCCTCCCAAAATGCTGGGATTACAGACATGAGCCACTGTGCCCTGCCCCCAAATTTTTATTTGGTAATTTAAAGTTCACAGAATGTACAAATAACATTATTTCTGGTGACCCTTGATGGTGAGTCAAGCAGAGACCCCCAACAGCTGGGAAGACTTGCCCAAGGCCAGCGGCTAGTAAACACAGCTAAGGTTTCTGGGTCTCGGGTCTTTCTCCATGCCTATGAATTTCCCCAGCAACAGGCTGATCTTGCCAGAGCCCGGAAAAGAAAGATTGGTCCTCTGCTCTTAATTTTTATGATTCTAGACTTAATACATACTCGTTACAGAAACTTGGAACATATAGAATAAAATCTAATACAATGATCTAGAGTCTCACAATTCAGACAGAAACAATTTACATGCCTTCTGGCTTACCTGGCACATATATAAAGATATGAGGGAGACCCCCCCAAAAAAACAACAAAAACAGAATTATCTTTTGGAGGGCAGGCCCCTTGTAGTACAGGCATCCCCCACTAGGTAAGTGTTCTAGGAACCCATCGGCATCAGTGTACCAGCTAGCATTATTATGAGAGGCTGTGTTCAGCTTCAGTGAATTTTTTTTGGAGATTCTTTCAATATGTTTACCCATTTCTCAATGAGTGATTTATAAACGAATCTGCCCACACTGTGCTGATCTCACCCCAAGTGACATTTTTATGTTTCCCTGGATGAAAGAAGTCTTCAAAGGGAAACATCTTGCCAAGGTGAAAGAGGTGAAACAAAAAACAGTAGAAGCACTAAAAACCATCAAAACTGAAAAGTTCAAAAACTATTTTTAGTAGTGGAAAAAGCATCAAACAGAGAGTACTTTGAAGGTGACTGAAGTTTAAATATGTAAGAACAAATACATAATTTTCTATAAATACATTCTGGGTCTTTTTGGTTCCCCCTCATATATGCATGTTGGCATGAAAAGTAAGATAGTGTCTGTTTAAAACTATTTTAGTTGGAAATCTGGAAGTGTTGGAAGCCGGCCACAGAGGCCCACTGAGCTTTAGGGATCAGGAAGGGCCGTTGACCCCGAGACCACTAGGATGCGTTCAGGAGCTATTGACCCCATTTCCTCCCACTTTCTACTCAGCAGTAACCAGATTAAGCGCCTGTGAGCTCAAAACATAGAAACTCTGAGATCGGGATGAACACAAGCTAACTTTAGAAGCTCATTGCTCCCATTCTTCCACAAACTGCAGTTTTGGCTTTCACACAACTTATAATTCAAACTCATGTCACATCTAAGAGCCTTAGTATTGGTCACAGGCTTCTGGATCATGATCTTAGGATTTATTTAAGGTGTAAATTGTAGAATATAGTTTTAGAAGACAGTCATTTTGTTGAAAGAATGCGGCTGGGTTACTTGCAGGTAGCCCACTGTGAACTTTGGACTGGGCCACATTCCAAACATTCTGCGATGGGCCACTTTCATTTGTAAAGTAAATACTTAAGCTTCTATAGAATTGTTTAACTTGGCATAAATCAATCAGCTTAGGATGAAAAAGGTTTATAGAATATGTCAGTCACATATTAGGTTATCCTTTGTTATGGGATTTTAAGATTATCATATGAAAAGGGTTTAAGGCAATCATTGATTAAGTTTTCATGGATTAAGGTTTCTGGTGGGTGGGGGACACCCCTCCCTCATCTGAATTTGTGTGTAAAAGACCCGTTGTAATTCCCAGTAACACACATTGTTTCTGCATTAGACTGGAGTCCAGTCTCTTTCTTTCTCTCTCTCTCTCTTTCTCTCTTTCTTCTTCCCCCCAATCGCTGATGCCGTCTCCACCTTTGGGGTGCCCTGAACCCAGCTGGAGCTGGTCTCTGGCAAGTGGTGCCCAATATAGATTACAGCAGGTCAGATTACGAGCATTCCAGAAGAGGACATTCTTATGATAGTAACATGGAGTCATGAAGTAGGGACCGGGAAAAACTCAGAGAAAGAGAAAGAGATATGGATCAGAAAAGGTCCCGGAAATCCCCATCTCCTGGGAGAAGAAGCCCAGAACCATCAGTACCCCAGAATTCCTCTGCTCAGGATGAACCTACTGCAAAGAAGAAGAAAGATGAGCTGGATCCTCTTCTTACTCATACTGGTGGAGCATATATTCCCCCTGCAAAGCTCAGGATGATGCAAGAACAGATTACAGATTAAAACAGTTTAGCATACCAGAGGATGAACTGGGAAGCCCTAAAGAAGTTAATCAATGGCCTTATCAACAAAGTCAACATTTCCAATGTAAGTATCATTATTCAAGAGCTTCTTCAAGAAAAT